CCGTTGCCGGACACGGAAAAAGACAAAAGACAAAAAAAATAAATAAAAATAAAAATAAAAAAAATAATAATAATTAAATTAGAACTGAAAATTGGGGGAAATTTTTGGTTTTATGGATAGAAAAAGGCTTTCTAAGCATCAAGTACCGAAAGGACATGCAGAAATCTAGCTGCGAACTCCACAGCCATTCTAAGCTTCCCTGGCAAAACACATCCCGGAGCATTTTCACTACCGAACAAAAGTGTCTGAAAACACAATGGGTAAAGGGTTAATAGACTTCATCAATGAAAACCACATACCGATGAATTTTTCAAAAACCACAAAGGTACTAAAAGATACATGGACAAAGGATGTGAACAGGAAGAGAAAAACTAAATGATAAACAAACATGTTTTAAAAGCTTCAACCCCGATAGCAATCAGAGAAACGCAGATAAACACAATGACAACACATCAGCTCCTCTCCTCCCAGGAAATTAGGAAAGATTTTCAAACAACACTCAGAGCTGCCAAGGTGTTCCCTCTCATCCAATGCGTGGAGGAGTGTCTGTTGGTACAACATTTCTGGAAAGCCATTTGGCAATACGTATCACGAGCCTCTGACCCAGAAATTTCACTTCTGGAAAGCAGACCTAAAGAAACAAATGCTAGATAAAGCTTTGACACCAATTCATCCCTCTCTTTGTGAAAACTGGAAATAACCTAAATGCCCAATAACAGGGAAGGGAAAGGAAATTAAGACACAACAGATCTATCAAATACCCACTAGCAAGAAGTACCCCCAATAAACTACTATCAGCAATGTTCACTGTGGAAGAAGATGGATGTTTTGGTTTTTTCCTCTACACATTTTTCCCCAAATGTCTATTATGAGCAATTTGACATCTACATAAATCATAAACTTGGGGGGCGGGGTTGCTTTTTTTCAAAGGATGACCGGTAAGGGGATTATAACCCTTGACTTGGTGTCGTCAACACCGCGCTCACCCAGTGAGCCAACCGGCCATCGCTATATGGGATACGAACCTATGGCCTTGGTGTTATCAGCACCGCACTCTCCCGAGTGAGCCACAGGCTGGCCCTTAAACTTGTTTTTTAAAAAAAACCACGTCCATGGGTGTGGCACAGGGGGTGGCAAACTCCCCGAGGCCAAAATCCGGCCCACTACTTCTTCTTGTAAATAAAGTTTTATTGAAACACAGCTACACCCATTTGTTTACACCTGCCTGTGGCCACTTGCCTGCTACAATGGCAGATTGAGTCGTAGCAACAGAGACCGTGTGGCCTGCAAACTCTAAACTATTTACTATCCGAGCCCCCCTTTAAATAAAGTTTTATTGAAACACAGCTACACCCATTTGTTTACACCTGCCTGTGGCCACTTGTCTGCTACAATGGCAGATTGAGTCGTAGCAACAGAGACCGTGTTGCCTGCAAACTCTAAACTATTTACTATCCGAGCCCCCCTTGGGCTAGTGAACCACAAATTGCTGTCCCCCGGTCACTACCAAGTGGCCAAGCCTCTAGAACAGAGCATGACCAACTGCTCAGAGCCCCACGTCCCCATGTACCTTTCTGGCAATGGCTGTGGGTCCAACAGCGCTCGACAAACTGCCCGTTGATGACAGTGGCAGGGCAGTTGGTCTTTCCCTTCGCGGTGCCCGGACAGATGTCCCCACACTCTTCGTTGTCGTCCTTGTTCAGCACGATGTAATTGTCCTCCACAGAATCCAGGATACGGGACCAGTCGATGGTGGCCAAGTAGCACAGCTCGTTGTTCTTCTCGATGCGCACGGAGCCCCGGGTGATGTTCATCAGGCTGTAGAGCCCGAGCTCTTTCAGATGAACCATCTCGAAGATGACCAGGGCATAGTTGAAGAAGAGACGTGAACCCCGGATGACCGTGAGGTTGGGGAACAGGTCCTTGAGGCTCTCGAGCCCGTAGACCCGGAAGAGCAGCAGGTAGTCGGTGATCATGATGAGTTTGGGGAAACTGAGGTCTCGGAAATCTTCGGGCCTCGTTTTGAACATCAAGAGTATCTGCAAATGTCCTTCAATGACCGAACAGTTCTCCAGCTCGTGCAACCTGGTGAGGTTGTTCCGGATATCCATGCCAGGACACACTAGAAGTGAAAACAGGTGAAAAGCAAGACAGGTGAACAGACGCACCCCGGATGGGTTAGAAGAATTAGGGGCATGCGACGAGGACCCCACCCTTTCACCCTGCACTGGGCCCTGCACATTCTGTAGCCAGCCTGATGGATGCGTGGCTTTCCCTGTAAAGTGGCCGTGCCAAAGTCATTGCTTCCAAAAGGCAAAGAAAATAATTCCTTTGGCAAACCCTGTTAGCAGTCTTAAAATCATCACCTCTAACATGAGACAATGGAGACAATAGGATGACAGGGGATTGGGTAACGCAGCAGGTGCTGCAGGAGAAAGGGGAGCTGTCCCCAGTGCGTTCCTGCTGAAGATCTGCAGGAAATGGTTTATGGGGATAAAGGTGCCTGCATCAGAAATGGGGTGAGGAAAGCTGGATTCATTTCTGTGTCCATTCTCCCACATCGCTGGCTGACTCTCCTTCCTGGCCTGCCCTCCTGGACTGCAGGCAAGTCCTTGTACCTGGGTGTGGCCTCCCAGGGAATCTGATCTCCACTGCACAAGGACCCTGCATGCCCCTTCTCCTGATGCTTCCTTCCAGGCTCTGACACCCTCCGTGGCTCCCCATGATCCTGCCCTCAAGATTCCGCCCCTCCATCCCCTGCAACACATTGAACAGGCCTGCCCACCACCCTTGCACAACTTCGGGTTCCTCTGATCCAAGACCTGTGAGAAGGAGAAAGTGAAATCACACAGGCCAAGCACTCAAGTAGTGCCCATTACACAGAAGATGCCCCGTGAAGGTCACCTGTTTTGCCGTTGTTGTTCTTTCTCCCAAACATCTAACGGTCATCTCTGGGCATCTCCAGGCTAATCCATCTGTTGGTTGACAAAGCTTTTTATCCCTTTGCTTCCGATTTCTAAATCCAACCCATCATCCTTCAAAATCCATTCAATTGCCACCTCCTGCAGGCAGCCTTCCCTGATTTTCTTTCCCCTGTATACCTTTCTCTATGTGTCTCTTCTACCTACTTAACATTTGTGAGAATCAAACTCTTTAGAAAGCTTCTCCCTGCCAAGACACGCACACACACACACACCCCACAGCCCTCAGCACCTGGAATCTAAGGCTCAGTATACAATCTCTGCTTATTTTTGTTCCAAGGCACTAAATCTACCCTCAATATCTTTGAGGCAAGCAGACTGTTCCAAAAAGGAGGAGTAAATCCTCTGAAAAATCCACCCTGAGAATGACCCACAGAAGAAGCACAAATTAGAAAGAAAAGAGCAAAAGTTAACAATTGGGAAAAACAAGCAATGATGCTCCTGGGTCACAGTTGACGCAGAACGGATTTGGCTGAATCAAGGGAAAACACACACACACGCTCACTAGGAAGTTGGGGGGAAAGACCCAGCACCCAGCCACCAGTAAACCACCACCCTCCCCTTGACACTTGCTGCCCTGGGTCTGAACCAAGCAGGAGCCCCAGAGAGGCTAAGCCCAGGCTGGGAGGCAGCTTCACGGTGACAAGGACACCAGTTCCAGCCCCACCGTCACATCGACAACTTCCACATGCCAAGATCTCAGCAGGCACTGCACCATTGACGCCTCCTTACAAACCCCATCCCCACCCCACAGATGAGAAAACTGGAGCTCCCAAGAGCAAAGCCCTCACCCGAGGACACACAGCCCACCTGGGACAGGTGGGGTTGCTAGATTTAGCAAATAAAAATGCAGATGCCCAGTTATATTTGAATTTTAGATAAGCAATGGATACTTTTTTAGGATGAGTATATCCCATGCGATGTTTGGGATATATTTATCCTCAAAAATCACTTGCTGGGCCGTCCCGGTGGCGCACTGCTACAGTGCACCGCTTGGGAGCGCGGTGGCACTCCCGCCGAGGGTTCGGATCCCACATACAGACCGGTTCCCGCTCACTGGCTGGGCGAGGTGTGGGGGCAACGCTGAGGGTTGCGATCCCGTTGCCGGACCCCGCCCGGTACGGGCGCGACACTGAGGGTTGCGATCCCGTTGCCGGACCCCGCCCGGTACGGGCGCGACACTGAGGGTTGCGATCCCGTTGCCGGACCCCGCCCGGTACGGGCGCGACACTGAGGGTTGCGATCCCGTTGCCGGACCCCGCCCGGTACGGGCGCGACACTGAGGGTTGCGATCCGTTGCCGGACACGAAAAAAGACAAAAAGGAAAAAAAAAAAAATCACTTGTTGTTTGTATGAAATTCAAATTTCACGGGGTGTCCTGTATTCTATCTGGCTTCATAGCTGTAGACTCAGCCAAAGCTTCTCAAACCAGAGCCTCACACTCTATATTTATGTCACACACATGCGCACTCACTGCGGATGCAGAGAACATGTGCCCCCCACGAGCCCCAGACTGTGGAAGAACCAAAATCAGACACGAACGTGCATCAAAGATCATGTGGCTGGGCCGACCCGTGGCTCACTCGGGAGAGTGCGGTGCTGATAACACCAAGGCCACGGGTTCGGATCCCATATAGGGATGGCCGGTTCGCTCACTGGGTGAGTGTGGTGCTGACAACACCAAGTCAAGGGTTAAGATCCCCTTACTGGTCATCCTTTTAAAAAAAAATAGATTATGTGGCTGTTAGACATCAGGGAAATGCAAATTCAAATGTGCTGACAACACCAAGTCAAGGGTTAAGATCCCCTTACTGGTCATCCTTTTAAAAAAAAAATAGATTATGTGGCTGTTAGACATCAGGGAAATGCAAATTCAAATGCAACAAGATATCACTTCATTTCAGCCAATGAATGGGTAAATAAAATGTGGTCCATTCATACATAGGAAGATTATTCAACCATATAAAGGAAGAGGTTCTGACACATGCTTCATAATGTTACTCTGAATACGTGGCCTTTTGTGTCTGGCTTCTTTCACATGTATTGCATGATTCCATTTATACGAAATGTCCCGAAGAGGTAAATCTATACAGACAGAAAGTAGATTAGTGGTTGCCAGGGGCTGGGGAAAGGGAGAAATGAGGAGTGACAGCTAAAGGGTTCTTTCTGGGATCATAAAAATGTTCCATAATTGACTGTGGCGATGGTTACACAACTCTGTGCATGTACTCAACACCGTCGAATTTTACGATTTAAATGGGTCAATTGTAGAGCACGTGAATTTTATCACATTAATGTTGTTATAAATGAAGATCAAATAGCTATAATTTAGGGGGCATAAAGAATTGCTTTTCTTTTTAAATCTCATGTGACTCTAACTCTTAACTCATGAAAGCCGTATGTGTCCCTATTAGTCAAAGACAGTAGAACGGTTTACTGCTGGCACAGAAAATACCCAGAGGATGTTAGAAATGGCATCAGGAATTGGAGGCACTTTTCTGCTGGCTTTTAATACCTCTGGGTGGGAACCGAAGGATGCTGCCCATAAGGTGGCAGCTGGTCAATGGCAACACGGGTAGAGAAGAAAAGACAGATCCTGGCGGCAGCTAATATTTTCCACGTGCCAGGCCCTGATGCACATGCTATCGTGCTAAATCCTAAAAATAATCCCAAGAGGAGATGCCATCTTTATGCCCATTTTTGTGGTGAACAAATCAAGACTCACATGGGCTGAGCATGAAGGGACAGCACTAGAACTGGAACCCAGCCCAGGCAGGCAGGCTCTGTGCTCGTAACTGTTATGCGACAGCGTCACCACCTTCGTTCTTTCTACAAAATGCCTAATGAAGAAGCCAGCAAATGCGACTTAAATCAGGAAACGAAATCGTTTTCACGCAGTAACAACCTGAACAGAGCTTGTTAAAGAGAATTTTCTTCATTCATTCCTTCATAGGAAATATCCACTGAGTACCTGCTCCATGCTGGACACCGTTCCAGGTACTGGAATTACTACCAGGAACAGAACAGATGCTGTCCCTGATCTTACAGCCTGGCAATTGCTAAAAAACTACCCAGAAATAAAATATAACTGTGAAGGATGCCCTCAAAGAGAGCTTCAGGGGCTAGAAGAGAGAATGGAGGTGAGCTACTCGACTCAGTCCAGGACAATCAAGGAGGGCTTCCTGGAGGAGGTGCTGCCAGGACTAAAATCTAAACAAGCAGTGCAATGAGAATTATTCAGTTCTGCCTACTTCATTTTAAGGTCAAGGGCTATAGGAAACTATATTTCATCTCTGTGGGTGACCATGTAAGTCTAGGGTTTAGGCAGCACTTTCCATAGAAATATAATGCAATCCACATACGGAATTTTCCATTATCTTTAGAAAGATAAAAAGAAACAGGAGAAATAAAATGTATTTCATTTAACCCAATGTATCCAAAAAAATCATTTCAATACATAATCAATACTAAAAATGATTAATGAGATGTTTTACAGGATTTTTCTCACACTATGCCTTCGAAATGCTGTGACTATTTTATAAGTTCAGTTCATCTCAACTTAGAGGTTCAGTTTTCATTGAAAATACTCAATCTGCATACATATATATTTCATAATGGGTATCACCGAAAATGCAGGTTCACATACTCAAGTTGCTTCGAACATACTCAAGAGTTTTCCAGTAACAGAATCAAGTACTGGGTTTTTTAATTTTTAAATGAATTAACATTAAATAAAAGTTTATGTTGACATTTAAATGAATTAAGGTTAAATAAAACTAAGAATTCAGTCTCACTGGCCACAATTTCCAGTGCTCAAGAGCCACATGTGGAGAGTGGAACCATGTTGAACGAAGCCTAAAATTTCCTTGGACACTGCTGGTCCTGAATTTCCCCTTCAGCCAGAAGAATCTGAGAATTTTCCATGAGGAGAAAAGTCTGGCATGAGAGTCATCCTGGAAAGTGTCCCCTCTCCCCTGGTTTTCTATCCACCATGAAACCAGCACAGGGGATGTGTTGGGGGACAGGGAAGGAGGTCCCTAGAAGATTCTGAAAATGCTTTACAATGCTAAGCGTTGTATACTTTCTGCTTTGAATCGTGAATGTCTCATTCCTAAAATCGCAGCATTCTTAAAACGCTCCCCGGTGACCTCTTCTGGGGCCCACACGTTCCTTTCTGCATTCCTTCCAGTCTTAAAACAGATTCCTCCTAAAGTCAGGGGGTCCTGCCCCAACAAGTCTTGGGTTCAGGTGTTGGGCCACCACCCGTGCCGGTTTCGGGGCACACTAGAAACCCAACAGATCTGGCTTCCCACCTCAGCTCTTACACCAGCCAGCTGTGTGATCGTGGGCCACACCTTCAACCTCTCTGTGTGCCTCAGTTTCCTCACCTATAAACGACGACAACTGCAAGATAAAAGCTATGAAGAATAGGTGAGAATGGAAACCTGGCCGTGTACACCCGTGAGCTCCAATATGAGCCACATGAAACCAATTTCCAAATTTAGCATCTTCATTTAAAAATGTTTTAAACACCCTTCTCAGCTCAGGGGTGGTACAAAAACAGGATCCGGCCCGAGGGCCATAGTTTGGGGACCTCTGACGGGATGGAATACCATGCAGCTGTAGAAAGAAATAAGGACACCCGCGGCGCTGGGAGCACAGCAGCGTTCCCACCGCGGGTTCGGATCCTATATAGGGATGGCCGGTGTGCTCACTGGCTGAGCGCGGTGTGGGCGACACCAAGCCAAGGGTTGTGATCCCCTTACCGGTCACAAAAAGGACAAAAAAAAAATTTAGCATCTTCAGAAATTAGAGCTTGGGTACTCTGGGGTATCAAAGACCCTGAAGATTCTCCAAATGCCTGGAAAAATGGCTCTCAAAATGGATTTGGGCAAAGGAGGAGGATGGAAGGAGGTGTGGCAGGTGGCAGCACCCAGAGATCTGGATTTTAACGCAGGTTCTGGAACCACTAAGCCAGCCATGTGGAAGCCATTCCTGTATTCACTCAATAAACGTTTACTGGGCATCCCTGTGTGCCAGGCGTCATGCTGGGTACAGGGGAGGTGTGGCAGGTGGCAGCACCCAGAGATCTGGATTTTAACGCAGGTTCTGGAACCACTAAGCGAGCCATGTGGAAGCCATTCCTGTATTCACTCAATAAACGTTTACTGGGCATCCCTGTGTGCCAGGCGTCATGCTGGGTACAGGGGGGATGTCAAGATAAGTAAGGTCGCAGCCTTACAGCCAGTGGAGAGAGACATCTAAATAACTGTGATGAGCTGCCATCTGAGTTAAAAGACAAAGTAGTGAAACAACCAACTGTATGCAGCCCAGGGGTGAATCTCAACTTTGCCACTTGGCAGCTGTGTGACCTCGGGTGAGTGACTTAACCTCTCTGGGCTTCAAATTTCCTGGAATCATTAGGGACAGTAGGCAAGAGGAGCAGGGAAGAGAGTAAGTACCATGGGGAAGGCAGCCTAAGGTCCTCGGGGAGATCTATGCAGACTGCATAGGGTTGAGGAGTTAGTAACAAAACCATGGGGTGGGGGTGGGGGGTGTTTATAATGCAGATTCCCTTGGATCCAGCAACTCTCGTTCTGGAAACCTGCACATAGATTCCTATAAGCAATATGGTGGTGGTGCTGGGTCATTCAACCCTCTGTCCACAACAGCACACAACTGGACACAACATAGCTGCCCATCAACAGGGGACCAGTTAAATCAATTACGGTCCATCCCCTTGATGCAGTAGTTCTCAAAGTGGGGTTCCTAGACCAGCAGCCTCTCCTGGGAACTTGTGAGAAATGCAGATTCTCAGGCCCCCACCCCAGACCTCCTGGATCAGAAACTTAGGGAGGGGGTCCAGAAATCTGCGTTTTACCAGGTCCCTACAAGTGATCTTGACACATGCTCAGATCTGGATAGTTAGAGTATCACGCAGGGGTCAGCAACCTTTTTCTGCGAAGGGCCAGAGAGAAAGTATCTTCACTTTTGTGGGCGACAGATAAAGTCTTGGTCACAGCTGCTCAATGCTGTCTTTGAAGCCTACCACGGAACAACACATAAATAAATGAGGAGGGTTGTGCTCCAATAACACTTTATTTAGAGATACTGGAACTGGAATGGTGTCTATGTTTCATGGATCACAAAATGAAAATTTGAATTTTTGTTCAACCATTTAAAAATGTTTTAAACACCCTTCTCAGCTCAGGGGTGGTACAAAAACAGGATCCGGCCCGAGGGCCATAGTTTGGGGACCTCTGACGGGATGGAATACCATGCAGCTGTAGAAAGAAATAAGGACACCCCTCATGGTGACACAGAAAGATCTCCAGGACATGTATCAACAGTAAAGTGCAAGGAGATGACCAGACTCTGTGATATGGCACCGCTTGTGTAAAAAGGTGGGGTGGAGAAGAACAGAGAGACCTACTGGCTGACATATGCAAATACTATTCTCCAGAAAGGTAAACACACAGAAAAATGTTTTTGCAACACTGGTTGTCTCTGGGGAGAGGAACTAAGTGGCTGGAGCAAGAAGAGAGAGTTTTTGCTACTAAAGCTCTTCATACCTGTGAATTTTGGTTCTGAGACTGAATCGGATAATCAAAACGCTGCAAACATTCTTTAATAGAAATAAAAATGCATAAAAGGTGAGGTGCTCAGGCCGTGGGATATTTTTTCCAGGAACCTCGTGAAATAAAGGAGCCAGCTTGGTTGGCAAAGGGCGTTGGCCTGAAGGAGATTTATGGATGGACCGGAGGTGGGAGGGACTGGACAATTTTCCCAGCCCTGGAGGAAGGGGTCAGAGAGGTGACCACACTGCTGGGAGGAGCGACAGCCCACAGAGACGAGACTTGAGAAGAGCCCCGGAAGAAACCAAGCCTGCCTTGATCTTGCACTTCCAGCCTCCAGGATGATGAGAAAATAAATTTCTGCTGTGTGTGCCACTCGGTCTGGGGTGCTTTGTGATGGCAGCTCCAGCAAAGCCATCCCAGCTCGGCCTTACCTTTGCTGTGTGACCTTGAGCTGGCCACATACTTCTCTGAGCCTCCATTTCTTTCCTGGTCTAAAAAATGCAGCTGGGTCGTGAGCCCAGATGGAGGGAGGTTACTTAAGTGGAACAGAAAGTCACTTTCTCTCCACAGCAGCCAGTCAGGGGGTACCTGGAAACAGAGGATGCAGGTGAAAACTGAACCATCAAAGATGAAAGGTGGAGGAAGAAAATAGTGTCATCTGTGGTGTTCAGGTGAAAGAGGGCTGGGATAGGACCTTTGCCATCCAGACCATCATCTTTCCAGAAACTTCTCATGACATCATCAGGCAGGTAGGTTGTATTGAGGGGACTTTTTGAACACACCAAGACCCAGCAAGGAAGACGTGGTAATGTTGGAAGATGTGGCCATGGAAGAAAACCTTGAGACTCAGGACCAAAAGTGTCACCTCAGATTTCTCCCTCCATGGGGTGCTGGCCAGTTAGCTCACATGGTGAAAGCATGGTGCTGATAACACCAAGGCCAAGGGTTCGGATCCCAGTACCGGCCAGCCACCATGTAATAAAATAAAGTAAAATAAAATAAAAATTTTTTAAAAAAAGAATTCTCCCTCCTGGGGAAGAGAAGGCAGATGTCTGAACTTTGACATTCACAAGGCAGTGACGTCGCAGGAGACCTGCCAATTCCATGGATCACGGATCTACCAGGAAAGATGAGCACACACACAAAAAAACAAAACAAAACAGGATTCCACAGAGTAACCACGAGAAAGCCACATCCAGAAGAACAGACAGCCACGGCATGTGAGGTGGGCTCTGCTGGGAATCACTGGGCATGGAGGGTCAGTAAATAGCCTGGGGGTGGAGGCACACAGGTAAAACACAGTGTCACCAAGAAGGATTTAGTAGATGAGGAAAGAAACGGAGGCTCAGAGAGGGACACGGCTTGCTGAAGGTCACACAGCAAAGAGAAGGCAGAGCTGGGATTTGAGTGCAGTATATTCATTTGCTTGTGCTGCCATCACAAAGTTCCACAGTCTGGGTGGCTTTAACAATAGAAACGAGTTTTCTCATAGTTCTAGAGGCTGAAAGTCCAAGATCAAGTGGTTGATGGGGTTGGTTCCTTCTAAGTCCTCTCTCCTTGGCGTGTAGAAGGCTGTCTTCTCCCTGTGTCTTCACATGGTCGTCCCTCTGTGTGTGTCTGTGTCCTATTCTTTTCTTATAGGGACACCAGTCATATTAGATTAGAGCCCACCCTAAAGACCTCTTTTTACCTTAATCACCTCTTTAAATGCCCTGTCTCCGAATACAGTCACACTCAGTACTGGGAGTTAGGATTTTCCACATATGAATTGCGGGGAGGGTACACAATTCAGCTCGCAACACCCAAGCCCCTTTGTACCCCGCCCTGTCTCCGAATACAGTCACACTCAGTACTGGGAGTTAGGATTTTCCACATATGAATTGGGGGGAGGGTACACAATTCAGCTCGCAACACCCAAGCCCCTTTGTACCCTGAGCCATCACACAGGGTTTCTCAAAGTGCACCCTGTGGACCACCGGCATATAAATCACCTGGGGTGGGATATGGAGAGTATATGCTAAACTGCAGATTCCTGGGCCAGGTTTAGACTCAGTGAACCCACCTCTCTGGGAGCCAGGCTCAAGAGTCTACATTTTAAACAAAGTCCCCAAGTTATGCAGTGAGGACTCAAGTTGGCGGATATATTCATCTACCAACCTGGCCCACCTCGTCAGCTCAGGCCCCCACCAGCCCCATCCTTCAGACCCACATTCCACTAAGCACCTGATCCCAAGATCATTGCCATCAGGTGCCTTCTTTGAGGATGTTGACTGTTGCCAGCAGGAACTCCATAAGCATGATGGGTGGGCACCTCAAAATTTCAAAGAAAGAAGGTCCTGCACCCATCTTACCTGTCTGGGTTCCTGACTCCATGTCTCGGAGCCAATTCTGACCTCAATTCCTATGATCATCTGCTCAGGCTGCTATAACAAAATACCACAAACTGAGAGACCGAAACACCAAAAGTTTATTTTCTCATAGTTCCAGAGGCTAGGACGTCCAAGATCAGGGTGCCAGCATGGTTGGTCTCTGGTGAGGGCTCTCCTCCCGGCTTGCAGACAGCTTCCTTCTTGCTGTGGGCTCACGTGGCCTTTCCTCTGGGCACACGGGAAAGAGAGAGATCTCTGGAGTCTCTTCTGCTTTTTGTAAGGCCACCAATCCTATCATATCAGGGCTCTGCTCTTAGGGCCTTATTTACCTTCATTACCTCCTAAAGACCCTATATCCAAATACGGTCCTATTGCAAGTCAATATACGAATTTGGTAGGGATACAATTAGATCCATAGTGATTCTTCTCCAACCAAACATTCAGCTTCTAACTCCAAGCCACCTCCTGTCATTTCCCTCCAAGACCTGCCCCCTCCATGTGAGACCTTGCTTTCTGCTTTGAACAAACATGGACTAAGTTCTTCTCTGACCTACATCTGGCATGTGATTTCATTTATCCACACAGGCCACGTTTTGCTTGGACACATCCCCAGTGGGCAGACCAAGGGTAACTGGGCCCCAGACATATAAGCTGAGTCTATCTCAGAGCAATGCAGTCAGAAAGGGAAGGAGGGAGGCCTCTGACCTGTTTCCACGAGGACAGAGCGGGCGTCAATGGGCAAAAAAGGAGAAGAGGGTGTAAAAATGCCAAGACATGAAAAACAGGGAACCCCAAGGAAGTGCAGCCTCTGCAAACCAGAAGGAGGTCAGGCTCAGGAGAGGGGGAAGGGATTTAGCTGGTAGCTGCACAAGGGACCAAAGCAGGAAAGTAGAAAAATCCCTCTTTCAACAGTGTAGAGAAGGTACGGAACGGAATATTCTGGAACCACCATTCCAGTATGGCATAGGGAAAAGGGAGCACGTACAAGAAGAAGGATAAAACCAAAGAGATACTGGGGAATGAGCAGGACTCTGAACCCAGGGTAAGTGGAAGAAAGGAGGGAGGCGGGATGAAGAGGGGTTGTTAATGAACATGGAAAGTTCGAGACAGGACCAGTTGGGTGGCAAAGACAACAGGCTCAGTTTGGGGTATACTGAGCCTGTGGGCGCTTTGGGGTGCTCAGGGATGTGGGTCTGGTGGGCATCGGGAAGATGGGATCTGGGGCTAGGGAGACCACATGGATGCTGGTGGAAACGGTGACAATAAGTGATATTGCCAGGAAAGATGGGCAACCAGGAAGAGAAAAGGATAGAAGGGGGCGCTGTAGGGGGCGCGATATTTGACAAGGGACTAGGAAGAAGATTAACGTCCCACAGCCACCCAGACACCAACATCTATACGCCGGCCTGAAAGCTCCGCAGTGTCTAATTCCTCCAGCCAATTACATAGTTTTGTAATCCTAACAACATCCAACATCAAACCACAGGATCAGGAGACTTCCATGCCATTTCAGGAGGCAGGAAATTTAAACAGACAGGGATAGATGGTGCCAGAGAAGACTTCCTCATTTATACAGATGGGGACAGACGGGACACAGAGGACAGAAGAGAAAACCCAACAGAAGCCTTCCAAGTCCAAAAAGGCACTTTGTAGAAACGTAGCAGGTGGCATTGAGACAACGCAACTGAGTAAGACTAGAAAGGAACATCTCAGATCTTTCCTGATCTTCGAGAAGGAAACTAAAGGCTACCTTCTTAGAACAGGTGGCAAAAAGAAATCACAGAAAGGCAGTCAGAAAACAGCTGTATCCCTACCCTCTTGGGTTTCTATGTCCGACCACTACCTTTTTCTGTGCTGTTAACAGATACGGTTTTGGAAAGTACCTATGTTTTCCACATTCCCCAAAAGGCAAAGGTAAGAAATCAAACTCTCATGATAACATCCTGCTACTCCTGAACACAAGACAGGGGCTTTTCTATAAACCTGATGAGACACCATGCCCTTAAGCAATTGGAAGAAAAAGCCAGATTTGAAATCAAATATTAATCCTCATGTGTCCAATTTGAGCCCCAAATGGAACTTAGAACCAATCTTCATTTGGCAACACAGAACAGCAAATCTTGCTCTGCTGGGAACAAAATATGTTTCTAAAATCCCCAGAGCCACTGCAGCATTCCCTGGCACCAATGGTTGGCAGAGCGCAGAGACCTCCCCACTGAAACACGGGCCAGGGGTTATGTGCCATCTCATGAATTTTCCAAGAGGTAGCCAAGGATTTGCACACAGATGAAAATATAACAAAAAGGACATTTGCATTCCAAAGGATTTTGAATTAAAAATGACAAACACAAATTCACAAATTTTAAACCACAGTGATAGGAGACAATCTACAGCCAATTCTTATTTGCAGAAGTTCTGTTCTACAAAAGTCTCCGCAAACACTGAATTTGTGAATACTGAACTGTTGTTCCTATGGGAAATCCTGGGTTAGGTTCCTGTGAGCTTCTAGCCACAACATTTTTATTAATGGATCAGTACATAACCTTGTTTTAATTTGTGTTTCTGTTGAAAGACACTTTATTTAATATATGTTGTTTATCCATTAACACTGAGCTCATGGCCGATGTCACTATAACTCATGCCTTGAATGAAGATTGTCACAGCCTTCTTACCCTAGGAAACCAGACAGCACTTCAACAGTACACTCGGGGGCCACTTTAAACAGCTTAATCACCAACAAAAAGCACAAAAATGTTAAAAACATGGCACCAAATATACCACAAGAAGGACAGTTTTAATCCTCAGTATGAGAACTGTATGAATCTACAGTATGAGAGCCAAAACAAGAAGGCAGAGTGTCAACCTGTTCAACCTAAAATTTGAGACCCCAATTTTTGGAGTGTCATCCATTGACCGCGAATGTGTCATGAATACTGATTTGGGGGTTACAAGTAAATTTTAGCAATTAGGCAGGATCTGGAAATAATGAGGCTATATGCAAATTAAAATTTTCAGTTTTAGAAATATTAATCTAATTATAAGTTTTTTTAAGTCTAGAGAAAACTATAGGAGTGGAGACATCAGTCGTTGACGGGGTTAGGGAGACTGGGCGATGAGAAGACTGTTCTGTATCCTGATTGTGTGAATGGACATACGACTCTATACATGGCTTAAAATACACCAAAAAAATAAGTCGATTTCACTATACGATAATTTTATTTTTTAAGATAATTTCTTATACATGAATGTGGGGTACAAAGTTGACTTTCAATAGATGTGTACAATGTGTGATGGTCAGATCGGGATAGTTAGCTCATGATTACAATACATAATCATCCTGTGTGTCCATTAACCAATTTCTCATTAACCCCCCTCCGTCTCCCCTCCCCCTTTCCACCTCTAGTAATCACAGTTCTTTTCTCTCCTTCTAAAAGTTTGACGTATTATTCTGATTTTTTTCTTTCTCTCTCTGTCTCTCTTTATTGTTTATTTGTTTATTTGTGGATTCAGCTCCCACTTATTAGTGAGAACATGCAGTATTTCTCTTTCCGCACTTGGGTTTTTTCACTTAGCATAATTTTCTCCAGGTTCATCCATGTTGCCGCAAACAGCAGAATTTCATTCTTTTTTACGGCTGAGTAGTATTCCATTATGTGCATATACCACATTTTCCCTATCCACTCATCCATCGATGGACATTTAGGTTGGTTTCATAGCCTGGCTATGATAAATAGAGTTACTGTAAACATGGGAGTGCAAGTATCCCTTTGACGTTTTGCTGTATGTTAATTTTTAAAAATAAAATTTTTCAAAGGTTAAAAACATAGACACCAAACCAATGGCACAGTCACCTTCTGGGACAGGAATGGGATGGATCTGGGGGACATGGTGTTGAAGGGGACTTTTGTTTTTTTCCTCTCTAAACTTTTGTAATTTTTTTTTCAATGAGAATGCATTGCTTGTCATGATTTCAATTAAAAAACCGTAAATACGCTCCAACTGCAAAACATGAACCACACCACCCCTGGATGTATTATGAGTAGAAATGAACATGAAGAGTCTTGAGAAAAAAACCTCACAGCACACACCACTTCCTTTTGGGTTCTTGAGGCAGGGCTGACGGCACAGAATCCTCATTCAATGCCAATGTGGCTGTTTAAATAAACAAATCCTAAAATCACACACACAGCTAAGGAGGGAACATCACTCTTCCTTTTTCTCACCCTTGGAGCCCCCCATATTCAGCAAATGACATAAATTTTTCTAACACGGCTTGCTCTATAAAGAGAAAAAGACAGCATCCCTGGGCATTTCATTTAACTCAATTCATTCAAATTGTACCTGGGACCACACAAGCTATTAGGCATGTCATCATGAATAAACCCTCAAGAAGTTTGTTCCAGATCAGGAGTTAGGAAACTTTTTTCTGTAAAGGGGCAATGCATAAATATTTTTGGCCTTTCAGGCCATGAAATTTGTCATAACTACTCAACTCTGCTGTGAGAGCCCAAAAGCAGCCATAGACCACCAGTGAGTGGACAGATGAGTGTGGCTGTGTGCCAATAAAACTTTATTTACAAAAACAGGCAGTGGGATTTGGCCTGAGGGCCATAGTTTGCCCAGCTCTGTTCTACACAAAGGAGTCGAACTATATGTAAATTAAAAAGTGGACTGAGAGAAGGTCAAAGGAGAGGCTGGTCCTGTAGGAAGAGGGAGCCAACATCTCCAGTGGGAGGCGGTGGCTGGTGTCAAGCCATAGGAGTCAACCAAGGGGAGGCTGCAGGAGGCGCAACGGGGAGGTGAAGGATTACCTTCAAGAGAGCCACCGGCGAAGCGGTGCAGACACAAGCCAGATGCCGTGGGCAGAGCAGTGGGTGAAAGGTAAAACAGCAAGAGCGGTGAGGGCCAGCCAGGGGAGGTCTGGCAGGGGAAGGCTGGAGGTCAGTGTGGGTAACGGGGTTCGGGGGGATTGAGTGTTTATACGCTAAGAAGAGAGAGGCTCGT